GTGCGTTCTACATAGTCTCCCTGAACACAAGACCAAGTTGCGACAACGAGGTCAACCCACTTCTAATTCTGGTTTTGTTTATGTTACCCACTTTGATAATTCATTGCCAGTCTAGATACTGCTAGAGAGTTGGCTTATGATGAATGCACGCGGAGGAAATTATCCTGGCACGTAACTCAACTGAGATCTTCTAGTTTCTTCAGGATCGGCTGAAGATTCGACTCCATCTCAGTTGTGTCGAGCCCCCGAAAAAAGTTTAACTCATAAGATTCGGACACGGTTAAAGAATGGGCACAATGGAAATTTCGAGCAGAAGCAGGCTTAAATTCAATACACTCTGTTGGTGAAACTTTCATTTGATAGGAATGTGCATGATGGTTGGTTGATCTCATCGAAAGATGAAGTTAACACATACAAGCACACACAAACACACGTTCAAGATATAGCATTATGATTAGTATGAAATAGATCTTACCAAATCATTCTATATCTATCTATATTTATTAACTTCTTTACTTATGAATATATATATAAGAGTTAATAAAGTCGTTCAGTCTTTATCACACGGTGTTAACTTGAAACTCTGGCAAGAATGAATTCCGCTTCTGATGATGTCCATCATATGATTGAAAAAAGCTCAGCCCGTTTTCGGCCGAGACAAAGGGAGATGTATCGTGGACTACGTCAACCTGAAGATCGTATTTAAGTCAAACGGCTGCAAAACAACGGGAATCAGTCGTCGTCTTGTGGTTATATCAATCGACGAATCTCTTCATCATGCACTTTCATACGAAATGTTATCCTAACTAAATTAGCTAAACCCATCTATTCTTCGAATTTAAGATACATTTCGGACAGGCCGGTGTCTGTTTAGGGGCAGAAGAAGGAGGATAAGAGATATCACAATTGTTCAGCAGAACTCGAAAGTTTGGAGATTCGGATGATCAAGCCATTTTGTATGACCGTTGTATAAAAGTGGTTTAACTTCATTTTTGTAACTTGGCAGTGTTGCCAGAGATACCTTATTAATAAATTGCAAGCTCTTATCAATTTCTTTTGTTACTCACGAAATCCTACTTAATTCAAATACATATCATGCTTCGGGAAGGTACTCTGTACATGACAGAACACCGGACAAAGTGCGTACGCATTGGTCTATTCAACAATATAACCAAATCGCGAAAACGATGTCAATCCAGAGAAGCTGGGTTTCGACAAACCCCTTAATCGATTGATGCTTGAACAGGTGAATTGAAGGAAATGTGATTATTGAAGTATGCGAAATCCTCGGAGCATTGAGGTGCATGATTAGAGATTGGAAATTATATTTGACTAGTAAGGCAGAGGACTTTGAAAAAGGTGACTTCATCAAGGTCGCCTTGCCAACACGATCAAGTTGTGAAATGAGGCCAAACCATTTGTAAGCAGCGAATGGTGACTGCTAGCAATCTAAAGGCCACACAATCGAGTTCATCATGTCTGTACGAAGAGTAGCTAGGTTGGATAAATTTCTTGAGATAATACTCTTGTAGAGACCTTCGCTTTGTATGAAAATGCATGCTGCAGACAAGACAGTGATCGCGAGGTGATTAGGGGAGAATGATTGCAGAAATGAATAAGTGATTGTTTCCTCATTTTTGTGTCGTTTGTGTAAATAACATAAGCAACCTCACGCAGTTTATTCGCTTCATTGGTCTGAATAAGGCACCTTCTTGAAGAGTAATCAAACTTGGCCTTGCGTGTTACTGCGGCTGCTAACCACCTAATCTTAGAGTTACGTAATATCAAACATACACACACATACAATGACGGAGATGTTTTAGCGTTGCCCGATTTAAGCTGACTAAAGGATGCCCGATAATCGGCCAACCAGTTGTCCCTGCGGATTGACTGTTGTCGAGGCCGAGACAAAAGCAGGGGATGAAGAGGAAATGCAATTTTTTGTTTAAACAAACAGTACACGACGAGTGGTCCGTCTACCTCGTCAGTTTGTGTGTGTGTCTGTGCATGTGTGCTCGGCCGAATGTTGGTGAATGCGTAACTGGCTGTGTTGAGGCGTTGCGAGGAGGGTAAGACATGAAAACGACTGAACAGACGGGGCTACCGAAAAAGAAAGTCACTATTCATCAGTCGAGCCTTTGGCAAAGCTGGGCATGTGCACATGACGATAATCAGTCCATCCGTTCATCTGTCCATCCTTCCGTCCTTACGACCATCCGCCAGTTTGCCAGTTGGCCAGTTGGCCAGTTGGCGATTTCCAGAGAGAAGCCGACAGAAGCAGGTCGGAATGCGGATCAAAGTAGGCATTCAAAGGCCTCGTGTATCTCCTGCAGCGCCCATTTTCCCGGTCAGTAGCCGGGAAAGGTGATTGGAGCAGACGAGTTTGTTTCCGCCACACGGACTGGGTCAACCGGAGGCTACCTGTGGCGAAACGATACCGAACCGACCAGACAGACGGATTGGCACACCAAGCCGACGACAGACCGATACAGGAATGCAGGAGACGTCTCTCCGATGCCCGACGTAAATGAACGCAGGAGAGAGTGATAGATAGCTATACTGGATAGATAGACAACTGGTTGGATAGAACTAGAGACAGAAAGCGAGAGGAAAAGTGGAAGAGGTCGCAAGGACAAGAGAGAGCCCAACTTTAGCAGGGCTGCCGGCCAGCAGCGGTGTCTATGCTCGGATGTGTGTATCCAAGATTAGGTGTGTCGCGAGCGTACTGGGAGCAGACAGACGAGACTGGTCAGGAAAGAGGGAGAGAGGGAGAGACGTTTGCTGTATCGAGTCGGCCGAGCGACGGACGAGTCTTTCAAGTGGCCGCCAATTTTGCGCAGCCCGTCGATTGGTCTGTCCAGTTGACCGGCCAGTTCTGCGGCCCCCTCGGCCAGTTTCCTCGGCCGAACCGACCCCCACCCCCACCCCCGCCAAATCTGTACCAGTCAGCCGCTGGCTCGATCCCTCCCGTAGAGCCTAATTTTCGATCCAGCCCAGCCCGGCCCGGCCCGGCCCGATATGTGCAACTACTTCACACAAGACTCTTGGCCACAGCTCATTATAGTCGTGTTTCTCAGGTCCTGTTGTCGTTGCTGCCTCCGCCGCGGACCTCCTTTCAACCCGACCACAACCTCAGCTCCTCAGCTCGCTCCGCTGCCTTCGTAGACTCCGTCAGTCCCATTACAGAATAGCACAGCACAGCACAGCCACGTCAACCTGTCCGACAGTCTGTGCCCTTCATTTCGCTGTGTGTGTGTGTGTGCGTGTGTTTATATGCACGCATGTGTGTGTATGTGTATGTGTGCATAGGGGTGAGTGTGTGCTCCGACCAGGCCGACTGTCAGGTCATTGTGTGAATTAGCTCAACTCACATCGCCGATGTTGACGCAGCTTCGAGCCACTCACGTCGACTCGGATGGCGGATGCCTCGTGTCAGTTGCCACTTTCTCCTCCCATTCTTCCATCTCCACGTCCTCCCCATCCTCATTATCTTCATCATCATCATCGTCATCATCATCTTCATCTTCTTCTTCCTCTTCATCCTCATTATCATTATCCTCTTCGTCGTCGTCCGGTTTTCTCCTCCACACACCGCAGACTGTTGCCGTGTCGGCTGGGCCCTGCTCACCTTGGCTCGGCTCTGTAGAACTGCCCTCTTGGCCAGGTCTGCCACGGCCGCAGAAACACACAACTGTTACGCCTAGAAGCTCGATCATCCCGAGACCTCTCAGCCTCCCACCGGCCAAGTCTGCTGCCCTCCAGGCAACAGTAACGACAACTGCAACTGCAACTGCGACTACGGCGACCACAACGGCGACGGCGACGGCGACAGCGACTCACCCGATTAACCCTGACTTCAAGTCTCGCCAAATCGGACCAGAGGAAGGGCTTCGCGTGTCCGGCCTCGGCTGCGAGTCGGCCTCCTTCGGCGCGTACCTGCAGATGCGCCGCAGTAACGACGGCCACCCCGTCGACGTCGTCGCCATCTCCTCTTCCTCCTCCGAGTCCCGCCGCCCCGAACTGGGCTACCCCGAGGCCTCGGCGGATCGGCTCGCGACTGCTCTCCCCTTCGGCTCAGGCAGCCTCGGCCGAAACTCACTTCTGTCACATCACAACCCTCCTTCAGCCTCGCCGTCTCCCTCGACCTCAGCCTCGGCATCGCCCCCAACCTCAGCTGAAGTGGCCACCAGTCGTCTCCACGACAACCACGTCAGCTGCCTCGTCTACGACAGACCTGCCGACTGGCACCAACCTTCAACCAGATCTCGAGGTACCGAACAGTATCCCACCTTCGTGACGCCCCTTCTCGAGTCACCCGGTCCAGCCGTTTCTCCAAACCCCAGCCTCCTCGAGCCGCCCCAACATACAGAACCGCTTTTTCTCCACCAGACCACTCTCGAACCGGACGACTTGACACCAACCATCTGTCATCCACACACCTATCCACACCACCCTCACCCACCACACACATCCCACCACCACCACCAGCAACAACAACAACTTATACTATTACAGCAACAACAACAACAGCAGCAGCAGTCAATGACGTTTCAGCCCCACTTGGCCCACCCAGACCAGAATTCTCTTCCTTTCCTCTCGCCCCACTCCGGTGCCTCGGGGCAGCCCTACCAACAGTTGCATGTGCCAAACCCACACCAACAACACCCCACGGCCCACTATGCATCTGCAGCTGTGGCAGTGGCGGCCGCTGCCATCTACCATCATCACCATCACCATCATCATCAACATCAACATCAGCATTATCACCAACTGCTGCCGCATGAACTGCCTCCGCCGACACAAATGGCCATGCTGCCACCGGCGCAACAGCACCAACAACAACAAATCGAAAATCAGCAGCTCTATGAGGCATTGCCTCTTGGAAGGCCAAATGAGGCAGACTACCTACGCCACGAGGTCTCATCTGCCTCTCAGTCGACAAGCAAAAGTCTAGGTCATCTTCCAGGAGCCCTCGAGTCTAGCCAACAACAAGCAGACGAACATCGAGGCCACCCATCACAGCCTCACACTTTCCTCCCCACCTTTAACCCACACCACATGCCACCCCAGAATTTCACATATCCCGGTGCTATTTGTGAATCGGACACCGACGAGGCGGACGCAAGCAACCCCGGCTTGTTGACTGCATCCAAGCTTGGCCTAGCCAGCCTCAGCCCGGAATCGGAGCACAGCTACGGTCTGGCATCCAATGGCGGCCTCAACGATGCCTACGTCAAACCACCTTATTCCTACATTGCGTTGATCTCAATGGCCATCTCAGAACAACCAGAACAAAGGGTCACTCTAAATGGCATTTATCGGTACATCATGAATAGGTGAGTCTCGTTTTCATACACACATTTATTGCCATGGCTACTAACCAAACGATACTCATACTTACACACACACACTTACTGCCACTCAAAATTTCGATTTGCAGACATCCTCCGGAACAGGAGATAAAAGATCCTGGCTGTTGTTCCCGTAAAAATGACTTTACACCAACTCATCAAATAGGTTCTTGTTAAGGCACAACTGACCGTATCAAAGATAGGCAATGTCTTCGATTCTAATGAAAAATGCAGGAATCTTGTAGTCAGCAGGCATCCGTCGTTGTATAGCGGTTTTGTGTCCTTTTGGGGGTGTTAATAAGACTGGGGCGAGACAAAAACTGCAAACCGGACGGAATGCTTAAAAGCCTTATGGGAGGTAACAGCAAGTGTAATATAATAGCATTTTATTGCCTAGAGCCGTAACAGGTCTTAAATCATCGATAGCTGCAAAAAACGCCGTATTCGAGACTGCGCTGTAAAACAAAAACTACATTCATCACATTTAGTGTACGATGATTAGCGACTGGTAGTTTAATTCTACCAAAATCATATGAGTAGGCCTAATGTTTCATCAAATTTTAAGGCTAACTGAAATTCGATGAAAACATGAATATCCTATCATTCACCAATCCTCCACCACTTTAAACGAAATGTGGTGAATGCTGCTATCATATCACATCTCGAAAACACTTAGATTAAATTTTAATTAGATTTTATAAATCCTTTAAAAATACACTTATTTCGGAGGCTTTTATTTCGTATAAAAGCGTATAACGAATATATTGTTTGCTCGAATTCACCAAAAGACGACTCCTGATTACCGTTTTGAAGTCATTTGGCTCACATTCAACACAGTCGACGAGACATCCGGATGAAACTGGGCTGATCTTTCGTCTATCTCAGGACGAATATCATCAAAGCTGCAACTCATACTTGCAAAAGTCTCAAGTCTTTTTGATTCACTATTTACTTGACACCCTCACAAGAATTATTTCCAGCTCAAATGATGTCCGTCATATAATGAAAGAAATGTCAGCCCAGTTTTACCCGAAACAGAAGAGGATGTCTCGTGGATTGCGCCAACCTAAACGTCGTATTGAAGCTAAATTGCTGCAATACAGCAATAATCAGTCGTCTTCTTATGGTGAGATTAAACTAAGAATCTATTTATCATGCACTTTCACACTCATTCCTTAGTTAGTGCCTAAAGAATATAGAGTTTCTTACTTTGCTAATAGCCAAATACTGGATGAAAGGCTCGAACAATTTGAGCCAAAACCCATTATTACGAGTCAAACCTACTTTGTTGGTATGTGAAGAACCTGGATTTTGGAGAATTTACTAAGAAATGTATGTTGTTGCATCTTACATTTTCGTTAAAACCATGAGGCGGATGAGATTAAGACTCTCATTTTGTATGAAGCTTGATGATAAAGATGTTCGTAGACCGATCTCACCAGCAGAAGGCAGCTTTTTCCAATTCTGCATGTGTTTGACTTTAATACGAAATTCAGATTGATGCAGTCCATCTCCAAGACATCCTCCCTCGTCTTATGTGAAAACGGGCTAAGCTTTCATCCATTATATGACGAACATCATCAGAGCTGGGACTCATTCTTGCAAAAGTTTCAAGTTATCACTAAGTCAAGAAGGTTAACTGGCCCTATCCTACTTATAACAAAACACATTTTGATGTACATCTAAATAGAATGATTGGTTAGCTCGAGTGTGTATGTGTGTACATGATGTCTATCACAGTACAAACGAGAGCTTAGCACAATTTCATCGAGGTCGCTGGACGATGAGCCGATGACTTCTTCGCAAAATTAAACAGTCTTCCTTACGCGGCAATCCTTCTTCGGTTCCCAGTGAGACCACATCACGAATTCCTTCCAACTAACGTTTCCTCCGAAATGGAAAATCATGTCACAATACATGAGTTGGTGTTTGTCCCCAATATCGGCTATAACTCAGAATAATTGCAAAAGAGTTCAATGTTAGCCATGGTACTTCTTACGAAATGAAAGCCTTCACCACAGTGTTATCTTGGGGGTTTAACCGAGACTCGCTTTTTTCTTTTTATCGTATTTGTCACAGGAGGACAGTAAGTCAACAGAAATTCTACGAAGGTGAGAAATCCCTCCTACAAAGCATCAGTTACAACGCCATAGCAATGCTCCTTTTACCAAAACCTCAATAAGCCTGGGTTCCCCTTCGGGTGATTTATGGACTGACTGTGATGTTTAGCCCATAACAATATGAAATAGTAGACAACTAAATATGATTAAGCCTCGCCTCCCAAAACGTTTTTCCATTCAGAATAGACTGCAACCAATCGCCTAAATACCACAAACAGGATTCGAAAACGGGTCATGAAAATTCTGGTGTTAGTTTGCTGAAGCCAAGTAAAATTCAATAGCATATGTGGGAACAACTCCTCTATCCTTTGATAAGGCACCTTACGCTGCCCAAAGTGACTAAATTTTTATTCAAGCATCAGTGACAGTTTTTAATCACACTCTTATGAGTTCGAGTGAGTCCAATTTATGCATCTATTTCGAACGAAACAAAAGGTATCCTGGCATGTACTTATCGGACCTCCTCATTCTCTGAGGAATACCCGAGATAGCAAGCTTACGAAATGCAAAGATAACTCTTAAATTCGCGACTGGAAGAAATCGTACAATAGCCCGTTAATGCTGTTATGGCTGTTGAAGTCTGATTGCTTACTTTTCATTTCGAGGGAAGAAATGAAAGGCAAACTAGCATAGAAGTGATCTGACTTGTTTTCACAACCCGGTCGTGTTGCCAGGGCGACTTAGTTGAATGCACCTTCTTCGAAGTTCTCTGTTATATTGGTTAGCATACTTCTCAGCGTCGGAACGTGGACTTATCTTCGCCAGCATTATCGATGAATCTTGCGATTCTCAGAAATAATCCACAACTCGTCAAAGAAACAAGTTAATTCAATTTCCCGACCAATTTTCTGCCGATAAGGCCGTCAATTTGTCTGGTGTTGAGACTGGCAAGACTCATTGATGATGCCAGCGAAACGTCTGAGAATATAATATGGCCTAGGTTCCAAGCTTGGAATTATGTTAACTATTATAGTAGAAGACTTCGGACAAGGTGCATCTAACTAGGTCGCCATGACAATACGATGGGATGATAATGAGGTAAGATCACTTCTATACATCAAAAGAAGACGGAGATCAAAATAGATGCCACAACATTTTGGTCTTCATATCTACGTTTAAACTGACAGTTATTATTCTACCTAAACATCTGTATCTGCTGACAATATTTTGGCTTTCTTCTGATCTCTACAGTCTTTCACAAGACGGCGCCGCTATTGAAAATCAGTGTCACTCACTTCCAGAAAGTAGAGGGAGTTTTATTTGGGCTCATTCCATTTTAGTCAAACTTAAATTTATGCTGATCGAAAACAAATAATTCTAGCGGGATTCGATCTCAGAGTGGATGCGCTGAAGAGACTGTGACAAGTTATGAACTACACGCAAGCCTAAAGTAAAGGTCTTTCTTTTTGCTTAATGAATTGCAAAGATCATTGGTAAAATTAAGCTTTTTCAGCGAACGCTTAGAGTAATCTGAGCTTTAAGTTTTCCCGAAATAGGAATTAGGAATGTGAAAATGGGGATTTATCTGTAGATTTCTTCCAGGTGAAAAATGCAGTCAAACCTGATTGAGCGTACCTGCCGGGAAGCAAAGCTATAAGAATTCATTAATTGTGTACAGATTCGACCATAAGCCAGTCTTGCATGACTTTAAACAAAATAGGGTGAATTCATCTCGTTGATGTATATATATATATTAGCCATTTATAAAGGAAAAATGACATTATCAACCCTCATTACGAAATAAGCTAATTAAGTCCCTATTTAAGAGCTACATTTTTCTTATCCAACGAAGAAGACGATTTAGTAAAGTTCGGCAACACTAAAATGAAGGTCGTTTTTTGTTGGCTAGGTTGTACTATGAAAAATATTTTCATTTCCGCACAAGGCCTGACTCGGCCCAACTTTGGTAGAGTGAGGACAGGCTCAAGCATATGGAAGATAAAATCATACGAATTTCCCCAAGGAAAGGTGA